CTCCCCTCTAATGAGTTTATTCATACTTGCATATTTTCTGGTATATTCTGGGACTGGCATATATTCTGGTGCATTCATATACTTCAACTTGTTCAGCCATTTCCCAGTGATGTGCATCCCCTCTATTTCTAATTCTTTGCCACCACAAAAAGAGCTACAAAAAAAATTTTTGTACATGTAGGTCCTTTTCCCTTTTTTATGATCTCTTTGGGATACAGACCTAGTAGTAGTATTACAAGATTAAAGGATATGCACAGTTTTATAGCCCTTTGGGCATAGTTCCAAAGTGCTCTCCAGAATGGTTGGATCAGTTCACAACTCACTAACAACACATTAGTGGAGTTTCACTAATTTTCCCACATCTTCTCCAACATTTATCATTTTTCTTTTCTGTCATATTAGCCAATCTGATAGGTGTGAGGTGGTACCTCAGAGTTGTTTTAATTTGTATTTCTCTAATCAATAGTGATTTAGAGCATTTTTTCATATGACTATAGACAGCTTTAATTTCTTCATCTGGAACCGCTTGTTTATATCTTTTGACCATTTATCAATTGGGGAATGACACAAGTCACATTTTAATCAATTCATGTGGACATACATATCTGACATAGGCACACATACACTTATTACTGTAGGTCCAGCACTCTATCCACTTAGTTGCCCCTTAAGCTCTAAGGGTACTGTAGAGCCCTGAGGGAGGGGTGAAATGTAAGTCACCTGGTTTTCAGTCTGTGGGGGCGAAAAACAATAGTCACACATGGGTAGTGGGGTAGGGGTAGGGGCAAGAGCTAATCTCTCCTTAGAGATTGTTCTGGATGGTGACTGTGGGATAGGGGTGGGGGGCAGAGCAGGACACCACTGGTTGTCTGAGGGTACTGCTGTTTCCAGTGCTCATATATTTAGAACAATCTGAATATCTGAATGAAAAAATTAGTAATACATGTTCATGGTGAGATGTAACTCTGGGATTTTTTCCAGTTCTAATTTAATAGACTTTGAAAAACACATGAAGCAGAGGGTAACTGCTAGACAAAGGTTTGGGAAAATCCAAAATTCATCCTCCACATAGCTTACAGTAGTCCTCTGAATGTCAGCTTCTCTGGAGCTGGAGGAGAGAGAGTATCTATTTATGGCTCTACTGCTTTCCTTTAAAAAAAAATTTGTTCAGTTCAAAGCATTTTTTTCTCCCTCCCACCTCCCTGCCCCCACTGAAAAAAGAAAAAGAAATCCATTATGGTAAATATGCATAGTCCAAAAAATATGTCTCGGTTAAATCCCTGAGTCCATTACCTCTTTATTGGGAGGTGAGTAGCATGTTTCATCAATATTTGCATGGTATCATAGTTGGTCATTATGCTGATCAGAGTTCTTAAATCTTTCAAAGTTGTTTATCTTTACCACATGGTTGTTATTGTATTGTTGTTATTGTACTTCCCTGGTTTTGCTCGTTTCACTCTGCACCAACTCATACAAATCTTCCCAGATTTCTCTAAAACCATAACCGTCATCATGTTCCATTATATTCATATACCATAATTTGTTCAGTCATTCCCCAAATGATGGGCACCCCTCAATTTCTAGTTCTTTGCCACTACAGAAAGTACTGCTATGAATGTTTTTATACATATATGGGTCTTTTTGCTATTTTTTTGATCTCTTTTGGGATTATAGGCCTAACAGTGTTATGGTTGAGACAGAGTATTCACAATTTAACATCTGGGCCTAATTCTGAATTGCTTTCCAGTGGCTAGACCACTTTACAATTCTACCAACAGTGCATCAGTGTGCCCATTGTCCCACAACTCTTCCGATACTTGTCATTTTCCTTTTTTGTTAAATTTGCCAATCTGACAGATATGGGGTTAATAACCCAAATTTGCTTAAATTTTTAATTCTCTAATTATTGGTCATATATAACTTTTTTTTTAACATGGTTATTGATAGCTTGGATTTCTTCCTCTGAAAACTTTCTGTTCATTTCTTTTGACCATTTATCAATTAAGGAATGGTGCTTATTTTAATAAAATCCTGCTTCTTTTCCAGAGCCCTCTCATTTGTTCAGCTTTATAATTTTTAAAGGTTTTATTGATTTTATTCTGCTCCTCTATATATGAAATGAACAGAAACTAATTGAATTGAAGTTTGTGATGTTGTACCTGCCTATGCCACGCTGAAACTGGCAACTTGGAGAAAAATATGGTGAACCTGAAAGGTCCCTGATCTCCAGGTCTAGCTGATTTCCTATTTCTTTTTCTGAGCATTGGTCAGAGACTACAGTTCCTGAGAATGAGCATTCCCAGCCATAGAGATTATCTTTTGAGAAATTCTCAGTTTGAGAGTTCAGGTACTAGGCCTCCTTAAGTCAATGGTCTCCAAACTTTTTTTGATCATACATTAGTATCAGTAAAAACTGATTGAGAACACATACCCAAATAGGTACATTTACTCATTTACATATTATATACATATGCTACTCTACTAATAATTACACATATTATAAAACTAATAAAAATAGAAAGATGAAATATTTGATCCTTGAGTAAATATAGGGAGTCATTAGAATTTATTGGGTAGAGGAATGATATGGTTGGATGTGTCCTTTAAGACTATTAATTTCAGGGGCAGCTAGGTGGTGCAGTGGACAGAGTTCTGGCCTTGGAGTCAGGAGAACCTGAGTTCAAATCTGACCTCAGACACTTGACATTTAACTAGCTGTGTGACCCTGAGCAAGTCACTTAACCTTGATTGCTTCACCAAAAAGCAAAAAAAAAAAAGAATATTAATTTCATAGGCTTGTATAGAATATGGAGAGACTTGAGATAGGAGGACCAAATAGGAGACTATATGTTGCAATAGTCTATGTGATGGATGATGACAGCCTGAATGAGTACAGTGGTTGTGTGAGTGGTGAGAAGGGGATGGATGCAAGAGATGTTGTAAAAGCAGAAACATCAAGATTTTGGCAGCTGATTGGACATTTGAGATGAGAGAGAATGAGTAGCTATTCAAACTGAGGTTATAAACCTGGGTGAGTAGAAGGATGGTGATGTCTTTGACAGGAAATTTGAAAAAGGAATGAATTTCAAAGATTCCCGCTATCAAGGCAAGAACTCACTGTTCAACAAAAACAGTTGGAAAAACTGGAATGCAATATGGTAAGCTTCAAAAGAAGACATGACTTAGACATACAATGTGATAAATTAGATGAGTTAGGAAGACATTACCTGTCAGATCTATGGCTAGGAGAATAGTTCAAGACCAAACAAGAGATAGAAAAGATCACAGAAGGTAAAATGAATGATTTTGAGTAAATAAGATTAAAAAGCTTTTGCATAAATAAAACTAATACAGCTAAAATTAGAAGAGCAGACAGAAAATGGGGGAAAATTTTAGTAGCAAGTTTCTATGAAAAAGGTTTTATTCGGAGATGTATAAGGAATTGAGTCAAATGTATAGGAATAAGAGCCATTCTTCAATTGATAAATGGTCAAAGGATATAAACAGGTAGTTTTCTGAGGAAGAAACCCAAGCTGTCAATAGCCACATTAAAAAAAAAAAAGCTCTACAGAACCAGAACATTGTACACTGCAACAACCACATTATGCAATGACTAACTTCAATAGACTCAGCCCTTCTCAGCAATGAGACTCCAAAAGTCACATGATGGAAAATGCTATCCACATCCAAAGAAAGAACTATGGAGTTTGAATGCAGATTGAAGCATACTATTTGCTACTTTTTTCTCCTATTTTGTTTTGTTTCCTCTTTCTTGTGGTTCCTCCTATTGGTTCTAATTCTTCCTTAAAACATGACTGATGTAAAAATATGTTATTAGGAATGTATATGTAAAGCCTATATCAGGTTGCATGCTGTCTTGGGGAGGGAAGGGGAGAAAAATTTTAAACTGAAAAGCTTATGGAAGTGAGTGTTGATAAATCAAAATAAATTAATAAAAACATTTTTAAATGCTCTAAATCACTAATAATTCAAGAAATGCAAATTAAAACAACTCTCAGGTAGTACCCCACACCAACCAGATTGACAAAGTTGACCAAAAAAGGAAAATGACAGATGCTGGACAGGCTGTAGGACAACAGGTACATTAATGCACTTTTGGTGGAGCTGTAAAGTGGCCCAGCCATTCTGGAAAGAAATTTAAAACTATGCCAAATACTTTTTTCACTTTTATTCTTTTTTTGTGTTTTTTGTTTCCTTTTGATCTGTTTCTTCTTTTACAACTATGACTAATATGGAAATAAGTTTTACATGATAGCACATGTATAACATATATCAAATTGCCTACCATTTTAGGAAGAGAGGACGGAGAAAAATTTGGAACTCAAAATTTTGTAAAAATGAATGCTAAAAATTGTTTTGACATGTAAATGTAGGTGTGTGTGATACTATTTAAAATAAAAAGAACCATGCCAAAAGCTAATTAAACTGTGCATGTACTCTTTGACCCATAGCTACTGCCATTGGATGTATCTACATCCCTAAGAAATCAAAGAAAGAGGAAAAGGAGCTATTATGTACAAAATATTTTTAGCAGCTCTTTTTTAGTAGTAGCAAAAAACTGGAAACTAATGAAGTGCCCATCAATTTGGAGATGGCTAAACAAATTATGGTATATTAATGTAATGGGATATTATTCAGCCGAAGAAATGATGAAAAGGATGATTTGAGAAAAGCCTGTGAAGACCCATATGAACTGATACACAGTGAATGGAAGAGACCAGAGAAAGATATACACAATAACAACATTTGTAAAGAGAAACAACTTTGAAAGACTGATCAACAACAATTTCAAAGGACTCATGATGAAACATGCTAGCTAGATGGACTCAAGATTTAGAATAAGATACATTTTCAGATACAGCTAATGTAGAATTTTTTTAGGTGGGAGGGCTTAACTGTACCTATTTGTTACAACTTTTTTTTTCTCATTAGGGAGGGAAGTTGAAGGGGAATAAAGATAGAATTTAAACAACAAAAAAAGAGTCAGAGAGGCATCTTTTTCTTTTTAATGCAGAGAATAGAATGAAAATTAGAACTATGGACAAGCAGGACAACTTTTGAAAGGTAAAGACTGAATTTACTGCATCCTTAGAAAGAAAAACAAGCTATACATAATAGAAATCTATAGTTGCGTGTACAATTCTCTTTTTCTGTTCTATGTATATTCATTTTATTTGATTTTTATTAAATTCAGAATAAAAATAAAGCATTTTTAAAAAGAAAAGTTGGGGGTTTTTTTTGCACAGTTGTGACAATGTGAAGAGAACACAGAATATTTCTATATTTGTAGTTGTTTGAGCAAAAAGAAGTTGCTTATTTTCTTAGTGATAAAAAAAAGAACGTGAATTCATTTTACCACACAAATTTGTTCCTGAAACTTGTGTACTTGTGAATCTTTTTTTTTAAACTTAGTATTCTGTGTAATCTGCATTTATCCCACCCACAGAGTCATTACCATGGAAACTAGGTATCTTTCCGCAAGGCAGGTACACGCTCCTGAGATTCCGGTGGTCTGTGTCTTGACCCTGAGTGGGTTTCTGGGAAGAAGCCAAGCTGCTGCAGGAGAGGAGGTGCTATGTAAGACTGATGGAGGATCGGTGTGAGGTATCTCAGGGACTCCAGATTATTCTAGCATGGAGCTGGCAACGTTTGAGGCAATTAGGAGAGCCAAAAATGAGGCCAGACCTAAGCTGCTGGACCAGGCTTGAACCGTGAGAGGTGAAAAGGTCACAGCCAACCCTGGAGCCTGTAAGGAGCATCAGCCTAATTAACAACATCTTTCTTTCCCCTCGTCTTTGTTCCTGTACGGAGAAGCCATTTTGCATTCATTTGCTGCTTTTCCCCTTGTCCTTTCCTGGCCGTTAGTCCAAGTAGCCAACATTGGGGAATTTCAATTTCCCTAACTATTTACTTTCATATCTATGCTATTTTAATCAAAGTAATAATACTCACATTGTTATTATTGTAATTATATTATTATAAAACTTAATGGCCATAAACTCTGATAGTGCTTGGTTATTAAATGCATAGATCGAGAGTGGGGAAGAGAGGGAGAGAAGCCAAATCCTTCAAACCGATGAGAGATAATTCATCCCCAAAATGGAACCTGGGAGAAAAGGGGTAGAGGTAAAGGCAGAATGCCTATGTAATTGATTATTGATGTATTAGAGATTATTTGAACCCCAGATATATTATTTTTCTTTTTAATATATTTTTCTTTATTTTGTTAAACGTTTTCCATTTATGTGTAAAAAAGTTAACATTCTTTTTTTAAAATTGAGTTCCAAATTCTCTCCCTTCCTCCTACTCCTCCCCCCCTCCCTGAGAAAACTAGCAATTTGATATCTATTATACATGGGAGGTCATGCAAAGCATATTTGCATATTAGCCATTCTGCAAAAGAAACTGCAGACAAAAAAAAAACCCACAAGAAAAAAAAAACAAACTAAAAAAGTGTTCTTCAATCTGCATTCAGAGTTCATCAGTTTTCTCTCTGGAGGTGGATAGCATTTTTCATCATGGGTCCTTTGGAATTGTCTTGGATCATTGTCTTGATCAGAGTAGCTAAGTCTTTCACAGTTGATCATCCTTACAATATTGCTGTTACTGTGTACAATGTTCTGGTTCTGCTCACTTCACATTGCATCAATTCACATATGACTTTCCAGGTTTTTCTGAAGCCATCCTGCTTGTCATTCCTTATAGCATAGTAGTATTCCATCACAATCATATAGTACAACTTGTTTAGCCATTCCCCATTGATGGGTATCCCCTCAATTTCCCATTCTTTGCCACTACAATAAGAACTGCTATAAATATTTTTGTATAGTGAACCCTAGATTTATTCTATTTCCTTTTGTATGAACCAAAACCAGAAAAAATAAAACAATTATAGGACAACTTTTTATTTTTAAAAGGTTGAGCTATAAATAATAAATTTCCAAAATAACATTTTAAAAACGTGTGTGGTATGATAGGATGTTGTTCAACCACTCCTATTTGCTCCTCACCATACTGCTGACTCATTACCTAGATAGGTTATACCTAGAAAGGTATAAACATTCTCTACTCTGAGAAACTGTAATGAAAGAATTTATAATTCTCCCTATATTTTTTTTTAAGCTTTGAGCTCCCAGCCAGAAACATATTCACTTTGGCAAAATACTATAGTATTGAATCTATCTCCTTATCTTCTCGGGGGATCTTTTTCTATCAACTTCTTCCTCTCTCCAAATGAAATCTTAATAATAAGCACACACAGACTCGCAAATGCCTGTGATTAACACTGTTTATAAAGTTAATACTTAAAATAGAGAAGCTAAATGGAATTGCCATCCCTAGAGGAAAGTCTTGACCCTGTTCGTGCTGAATCCTAGAATTCTGGCCCTGTTCCTTGTGGCTGCTGCCTACACTCATGTTTCCAGTGCTCTCCCAATTCCTTGGGGCATCTCACAGCCTCTCCTTCTCCAGCTCTGGGGTATCTTCAGCATATTTCATCAGGTCAGGGACTGAGTTTCTCTTCGAATGTGACTGTCTCTCCAAGAAGTTCATTGCCCTTTAAAGTTCAAACGTGGTCAATGATTATTCATCCAATGGTATTGTTCCCTTTACAGTCAGAGAGGTGTTTATATTTCATAAAGGGACAAGAGGGTGTTAATACTTCATTTTCTGTGATTATATATTATGAGTATATCACCTAAGCTGAGGGAGAAAATGAAATCTTTCCTCTCTTACAAATGTTTTCTAGTTTAAAAATACTTGCCCTGAAAATGAAATAAAATAAAATAAAGACCTAGTTATTGATCATTTGACTGGACTATAGAAAAATTATTATTTTGTTGTAAAGATCTAGATATTTTAAAGCCTGAATGGAAAATGAACTCATTTGCTACAGACAAATATAACGTCTTTGATTTTATTTTATTCAGATAAGAATGGTTAATTAGACTTGTCTTATGCTATTGCAGTGGAATAAGCATTTGAACCTGAAAAAAAGCTTATGTTTTGCTTATAAATGAATAAAGGGTTCTCTGTATTATCACACAAGTAATACAAATTGTACTATTCTTAATTGTATAAAATGAGGTTTCCTGCTATAGCTATTATAAAACCAATCTCAATCTCAAGGAGTGATTGAAAAGAATTATAGATAGTAGCATTACATTTTTAGAGATGTGCTTCAAAACAATCCACCAAAAAATCTTGGCCTCAAGTTTATTTGATAAAGATCTGGAAGTCAAGATATAGAGGGAATCAACATAAACCCGTAAAAACGAGAGTCATTCCCCAGTAGATAAACCTGATCTTTAAGTAGTTTTCCCCAGAGGTGTCTGTCTGTGCTGGGGGACACAATGAGCTAAAGTGGGTGAGGAAAAGAAGTCTAATCTCTCTTTTAGAGTCACTCCAGTTCTTCCACGACTGAACTCAGTCCACAACATGTACATAGATAGGTCTAGAGCTGAGAGGAGATCTTTAGTGGAGAAGGGAGAGGGCCTCAGTGCCTCTGCTGGCTTGAGTCCAGCAGTGTTTCTTAGTGTTTCACGAAAAATAATATGTTAATTTGTGGTTTTTCTTTAAGTCAATATGCAGTCCAGGGATTTCGACTTGCGTTTGACACTACTTATCATGAGTCATTCAGAGCTAGGTCTGGCAAATAATTTCTGTGCCCATTTTGGGTTGCAAGTTTGCTGTGAATTCACAGGGCACAATTAGCTAACACATCAACTAAGACAGACATTGCAGGCAACATTCCACACCCATAATCTTCTACTTGGCAAAGAGAGGAAGGTGAATTTTTCTCATCATTTTTCTTGAGCTATTGGGCTAAGCTCTGTCATTATAATTACAACACATTTAAGTTTCCAGGTTATTTTTGTTATTGTTGTTGCTCTTTCCATTTGCATTTTTTTTTGCAATCACTGTATGTTTTCTTGCCTCTGCTTACTTTGCTTGGCATTTTTTCACATCAATCTTCCTATGCTTCTGGTTTTTTTCCCCACAACTCAAGAAACTTCATATTTATGGACTAGCTATTTAGCTATTCCTCATTGATGGGTGTCTATTTTGGATTACTCTTCTGACAAGTACAGATTCCAGCGGAAAGTGGGCTTGAGTTTAGACAGCACACGTGACAAAATCAAGGCTCTTAGGAATCCTTTTGCCACAGCCCTAAAGATGTTTCCCTTAGGTACAGCTTAGCTTTTCTTCTTTGTGAAGCCTTGAACCTTCCTTTCCTCATCGAGCTCAGTCTGACTTTGCTTGCTGAAGCAGACATTGTCACTAGTTGATCCAAGAACACTTCAAGGACAGTACAGCTGCCATGCACTCTCTTCTTCATTGCTGGGTATTTTAATCTTTCAGGCATAAACTGGTTCAATATTTTATAGATGGCCCACAGGACATAACTAAATTTCCTCAGTCAATCAGAACATATTTCTTGCTATAGCTGGAGAGATGTCCAGTCCTTTTCTTTTCTTTTCTTTTTTTTTTTTTTTGACGAGGCAACTGGGGCTAAGTCTCTTGCCCAGGGTCCACAGCTAATGAGTATCAGATGTCTGAGGCTGGATTTGAACTCAGGTCCTCCTGACTCCAGGACCAGTGCTCTACCCACTGCACCATCTAGCTGCCCCCAAGTCTCCCTCTTTTGACAAAAGTGACTGTCCTTGAGGAGTTACCCCAATCCCAAATGAGATGTGTTCCCACCTGTCAAATGTAATAGAGCTATAGCATCTTATTACTTACTTTAGGTGGGGGTGGAATGAATTGATGGATTTATTCAAATATTTATTTATTCAGGTAATTTATTCAAATTATTTTTTTACCTCCCCACCTTCATTCTGCTCTTCATTAAGAGGCTCCTCAGCTCTCAGCACTCTGGAGGATGTGGACTGGGTTCACTCCTAGAGGAGCCGGACCACATACAACAAGGGTCAGGCTCTTTTTATTGAATTCTTTTGGCTCTTAGCCCTCACCCTAGAAGAGCACCTGGAAAAATTACTTAAAGTTTAGGTCTGGCTCATGTCTAGGGTCTCCCCAAAACATAGGGTCCCTCTCCCTTCTTTTAAAGGAACTGAAATTCTAGGATGAGCAAAACCCACAGTGTTGGGCCTGGTTTTTCCCCAAAGAGGGGAAGGCAAAAAGGCACTCACAGTAAAATGTTGATGAGATCTAGGACAGCTATTTATTTCCTCTAAACAAAAGAAAGGCTAAAAACAAAAGACTCACAAGTGTCCATTGACAAAATATATAACGAGGCAGCAGTAATAATAATAGCTGGAGACACTGCAAACATTATCTCATTTTACCCTCACAACAATTCTGGGAGGTTGATGCTATTTATCCCCATTTTATAGATGAGGAACCTGAGGCAGGCTATGGTTAAGTGACTTACCCAAGATCAGAAACTTTGTGTCTCAGGCCAGTTTTGAACTCAAGTCTTCCTGAGTTCCAGGGTTCTCTCCATGTGTCATCTAGCTCCTTCGGTGCTACTTATGTTCTCCTGTGAGATTTAAAATGAACAAAACACAAAACTTGGATTAGCAGGTATCACATTTGTCAGTGTTGATGAAAAGGTGTCACCTTTCTTTTTCCCTTCAGGGGTAGTCTAGAGAGGAAAAGTTACTTAACCTCCCAGTGGAGCTGAAGGAAAAGAGAGACAGAAAACAAAATTCTTCCCTCTACAAGGTCCTCCTGGCTTAGTGGCCAGTCCCAGCTGATGCAGAGTGGATGAAGTCTTTCCTATTTTCAATTACTGGGGAGTCTGTGACTACGAGTTTGCTTTGTCATTCCAAAAAGACAAACTCTAGAGATTAGCACATTTTCCTAGAAGTGATAAGGGATGCAACCCCCATCACATACCAAGACATTTAACTTTGGCCATAACATCCTTCAAATCCCCTTCTGATCCCCACATACTTTCACAATTATTTTTTCATATTATTGTAGATGCTGTTTTTTAAGTGAATAAAATCACTCACGTTATGTTTAGTGATCAGATTTATTAGAGATGTCATTCACAGCCTGGTTTGGGGTTGGTGACCTCTTTCCTGTCAAGGACTCCCAACTTTGGGCTCGTTATGCTCCCAACCCAGAGTTCTACTCTGGGAAAAATCTCTTAAACAAAGACTAGTTTTGGCTCTTGTCTAGTTCTGCCCAGGAGGATTAATTGGACCCCTTGTAGAAAGGTGCTTAAGGCATGATGTTCATGAATAGGACTGCTATTTATTTCCTCTACAACTAAAGAAATGCTTAAAACACAAAAGAATCATAAGCACTCACTGAGAAATGCTTAAAATTCGAAATAATAATCCATCAGTCCTATTATACTCTTCTGGGGGATAGGAGAAACTTAAAGGACAGTTGTGGAACTGCTAAATATTTCATTTTCACACGCTACCCTATTGAGCAACTCTCTCATTGTTCACATCTTCTGGACAGTCAGCCATGCTTGGCTCCATCCTCCTAGAACATGGTTTTGTTCTCCAAGAAGGCTATGACTACAAGTAGAACCTCCTACTGGAAAATCAATTCAGTATGTGGCAGCTAGGTGGCTTCTCCAGCTCATTTTACAAATAGAAAAATGGGCAAACTGGGTTAAGTGACTTGCCCAGGGTCACACTGCTAGTGTCTAAAACACATTTGAACTCAGGAAGATGAGTCTTCCTGACTCCAGGCCCAGCACTCTATCCACTGTGTCACCTAGCTGTCCCTCAACAGCAACAAAAATGAAGTAAAATAAAGTGAATGAGTACTTCAGGGGAATTTACATGTGCCCTGGGACAACTGGAAGGACTTTAAGTTTATTTAAAACCAGTGCTAGGTGTAAGCAGTAGAGTTTGGGCCTGGAATCAGGAAGACCTGAGTTCAAATTCAGCCTCAGAAACAAAAAGCTGTATGACCCTAAGCAAGTCAATGAACCTGTTTGCCTCAGTTTCTTCTTCTGTAAAATGGGGCTCATAATAGCACCTACCTCCCAGGGTGGATGTGAGGATCAAATGAGATATTTGTAAAGCGCTTGCCACATTTTATTTGATACGTAAATGTTAGCTACTTCTACTATTATTATTACTGTTATCATCCTCATCACTGAAGAATTAGTTTCTATTATGTGGCAGTGTTTCCCTGAAGCAAGTGCAATCACACTGACAGTTTCCACTTTCGTGGATGCATCTTGCATAGGAGCCACACTGCCTACTAGCCCCGCGAGTGCAGAGAAGTCCCAGAATAGGGCGGGCTCCAGCTCTGCATAGCTAACTGGCATGAATGGCTCCAGCTCGCCAGACTGGAGATATTACTCTGCAGTCCAGACTGCCTCTCTGCCCATAGCCGCTGGGGGACGCAGCCCGCTCGTAGATCCCATGCTTCCTAAACCCCGCTAAGACCTGACTGAATAGCTCTCCCGCCACCTCTAGGGGGGCGTTTCCCCGCCTCAGCACCGGGCTGCCCACTGCCATGCCTGCTATCAGCGAGACTGACGGGAAGTCCCGACGTGATGCTTCGGGGTCGGCGATTTCGATGAGACAGCTTCCATGCCCTGGGAAGGAAGCTACCCGTAATGGTTGCCAGGGTGAGCATGCGCGCGTATGCGTTCAAAGCTCGAGGAGCCTGACAGGCACTTCCGCGGACAGCCGGGCGCTAAAGCGGGGTCCTTCATAGGCGCGAGATCCAGGGTCCAGGTGCTTGTGGCGGCCCTCAAGCCCCTGGTGCTTGCGTTCACCGGGACCGGCAACATGGAGGAACTGGACGGGGAGCCCACGCTCACGGTAGGGTCCATGCCGCGGGGCTCGCAGGGTCAGACACAGCCACGGGTGGCCTGGGTTCGTTCCCGCCATCCACCGGAGGTCGCTGCCCCTCCCCTTCGGAGGTTACGGCCCAGTTCGGGCGCGCGCCTCGGCCTGACAGGGGCATGTCGCGAGAGTCGCGGAGCGGCATTTCCTTTGTCTCCCGCGCGCGCCTTGGCTACGCCCCCGCACGTGGGCGTTCCTCCCTCCTGCGCCCTGGGCGGGCTTCCCGCTCCCCAACCCTCCTCCCTCCGCCCATCGCACCTGGGAAACCGAACCCGGCGCTTCCTGGGGCGTCCGTGCAGGCAGTGGAGTCGGGGGACCTGGGTTCAAGTACGGCCTCGGCCGCTTCCCGGTTCTGTCACCCTGCTCCAGTCACTTCAGCGCTCCGAGAGTCAGTTAGCTAGTCTGTAAAATGGGGATAACGACAGCACCTACCACTCAGGGTTGGGGTGAGGCTCTGGTGTTAACAATATTTTAAAGCGCTTTGCAAATTTTTGGCAAGTCACTTCTTCTGTCTGCCTCACTTTCCTCAGTGGTAAAATGGGAGTAATAATAGCACCTGCTATTGTTATGAGGATCAAATGAGATATTTGTAAAAGTGCTTGGTACAAAGTAGGTGCTAAATAAATCCTTTTTCTCTTTTTCTTCCCCTCCCCCATAGTATTATATAACTGCTAGCTATTATTATTAATATTGCTACTTAAATGATAACTATAGTCAACATCATGGTTATTATTAGCAGTAGTCATTAATATCAGTTATAGTAGCGTGAGTGACTAACATGGAAATATTTTACATAATTGTACACCTACGACCTATAAATGATTGCTTACCGTCTCAGGAAAGGGGGAGGGGAGTGAGGGATGGAATTTGGAACTCAGAACTTTAAATAAAAATGTTAAAAAATCGAAAAAATATATAAAGTAATGTGGCATAGTGAGAGGCCGGGGTTTAGTAAACAGCTTTTTTTAAAAAAAAAAAGCCATTTAAAAGCTAGGTGGCACAGTGGATAGAGTACCAGCCCTGGAATCAGGAGGATCTGAATTTGAATATGACCTCAGACACTTGGCACTTACTAGCTGTGTGACCCTGGGCAAGTCACTTAACCCCAATTGCCTTTAAAAAAAAAGCTTTTGTATATGTGACTTATGCAAGTGTTTTTCGTGACTGCACATGTATAGCCTATGTCAAATTGCTTGCCTTCTCAATGAGGGTAGGTGGAGGCAGAGAAGAGAATTTGAAACTCAGAAATTCTTTTTGTAGGAAATAAGATACGCAGGCAAAGGGGTATAGAAATCTATCTTACCCTACAGGAAAATAGAAGGGGAAGGGGATAAGAGAAGGGGGCAGGTGGTGGTAATAGAAGAGAGAACAGATTGGGTAAAGAGGGAATCAGAATGAAGGCATTCATGGGGTGGTGGGGGGAGGGGGGATGGGGAGAAAATTTGGAACTCAAAGGCATGTGGAAGTGAATGTTGAAAACTAAAAATAAATAAATTGGGGGGGAGCCTTTGTATTCTCAATATTATACTTGTAGTAGGTGATTAATAAATGTTTGTTGAATTGAATTAAAATTCTGCCTCTGACACACTTAATTGTGGGATCCTGAGGAAATCATTTAATTGTTTTGTCCCCCAGACAACACCCAAAGATTTAAAACTAAAACAGAGTTGTGGTTGTATTGCATTGGTGGAGGGGAGGGTCCTAGAATCAAACATTTGGAACTGGAGTGCTTGCCTTTTGTAACATAGTTATACCATCTCCCACAGGTGTCCTTCACACTTTTTTTTTTTGGCTGGGCAGTGTGGATAAGTGACTTGCCCAGGGTCACACAGCTGGTAAGTGTTATGTGTCTGCGGTCAGATTTGAACTCAGGTCTTCCTGAATCCAGGGCTGGTGCTCTATCCACTGTGCCACCTAGCCGCCCCCTCCACACTTTTGTTAATTGCATCGCAGCCACCAGCTCTGGGGCTTCTCCTACCTGGTAAACCAAACTCCATTCTCTTGAGCCTGGTCATTTGGAGTAGTCTTATTTAGTCTTAGTATAGAAATGTGGCATAGTGGGTAGAGAGAAAATCAGAGATACTTTCACAGTGGTGGTGGAAGGTGCTGGAGAAACCCTTGTCTCCTCTGACTTTATTTTTGTACTTTGGTTGAACCCAGTTTCAGCCCAGCAACCAGGACCAGGTCAGAGCAAAGCCTCACATCTGTTTAGTGCTGTGCTGAACATCTGATGACTGTGTAATCAGTGAGGTTGAGATGAGCTAGTGGTATATTGTCACCCTGCAAGCTTCCTCCAGGTACTTTCATATTTTAGAGTGAGCCAGCCAATCTGGGACCTCACCATGTTTTCCTCCTGAGCTGTTGGCATTACCCTCCTGCTGAAGCTAGTCATACTTCATATCCTCATGTCTTTGTCATTCTTTTTCTCCAAGAAAGAGAATGTATGTGTTGAGCTAGATGGCTTTAAAGGTCCCTTCCAGTTAATAGATTTTGTGAATCACTGCTGAAGTCAATTAGGCAGGAAAAAGGATATACATAGGAAGGAGTGCATGTTGTTATTTCTATAAGTAGTAGTAGATAAAACAGGATTTTTTAAAAATGTCATGCCCCCCATAAATACCTGCTGATACCTGCAGAGTGCATGACAGTCTTGAAATGACTGAAATATTGCTACTTAAGATTAATACTGGGGCAGCTCGCTGGAGATAGAGCACCGGCCCTGAAGTCAAGAGGACCTGAGTTCAAATGCGGTCTCAAACCAAACGCTTGACACTTACTAGCTGTGTGATCCTGGCCAAGTCACTTAACCCCAGTTGCCTAAAAAAAAAAAAAGGGGTTAATATGTATCTTTTTTAACTGTCTTATTGATGCCTTTTGTCTTTGTACCAGTCATTTCCCACCCTCTCTAGATTACACTCTGTTCTGGTTCATATTCAATATTAGCCCCTTAACTGTGGATGTC